ACAAGTTTAGTTTCTTGCACCAAGTAGGAAAACAGAATCTTTGGAAGGTGGAGATATTAGTTACAGGCCGGGGATATAGCTCAGTGGCATAAGTGCCTGTCTGGCAAGCACAATGTCCTGAGTTCGATTCCCAGTACCAAGAAAAAAAAAGAGAGAGAGATATTAGTTACAACACAGGAACAGCTGCAGCATCAGAGGCAGAATCACAAGGCCTCACCAAAAGACAAAATTACAACAAATTTAATCTAAAGAACTTAATTGGCTTTTATTCACAATTCGAGATTCAAGCAGCCCCAGGACTAGACCAGGTTCTAAGAACTCTGGCCAGCAACAAGTCAGGCAGTATTTAAACAAAGAAAATGAGTGAAGTATAAGAATAGCTTAACTGGCCTTGTTGTAAGCATTTGGTTGTCTGCCATGGACTGCCCCCCAAGAATGCTGAGTGAGACTGAAGCCTGCATTGAGATTCAGTGGTTACAAAGACATACCCCTCAGGGAGGCCTTGGCAAGGTTTTCGGTGGGTTTTCTGTACTAAGCCAGGCTGCAGCTAGTTGTGTAAGAAGCCAAGTGCAGAAGCATCCTCCAGTGAAGTTTAGTTTATCTGTCTTCAATAATAAGACTGTTCATTTCTGTCTTCTCTAACCTTGTAAGAATATGGGCCAAGGGCTAACATGGTCATTCTGCAGTCAGGACTACATAATGAGACCTTGTCTGAAAAAATAAAAAAATAAAAGAATTCTATTACTGAGTAGAAAAAAAAAGGATGGATGCCAAAGGAATTTCTTTATTCTGAAGTGAAAGACTGCTGCCCCCCTCAAAAAAAGGCAACAGCAGGTTTTCCTGGGTTAAATTGCTTATCACCAGAGATTTATGATTCTGTTTGCTAGTAACTTTGTAGTCATGATGGGGTAATTTGTCACGTGAAATTATTTATTTTCCAGCTCATCATAAAGCACCTATATGGCTGAATTCAACACAGTCTTTTCATTCAGTGATGCCTATTGGGTTAAATAACGCTTAGTTCAGGCCCACAATCTCCCAAGCGAGTGGAAGGCGAAGGCTTAAATAAATGAGACAACTGAAATGATTTCAGGGCTCCAGGAGGGTCTCACTCTCTTACAGCTTCACTATTCTCTGAGTTTAGACAAAGACAGCTCTGGGCAGCCTGTATTTATTTGGTTTACAAACAAGGGAGGGGGATACTGAAGAAAATGCAGGAATCTGGGCAGGACTTGGGAATCCTTTTAAGGACTTCTCCAAGTAATACATTATGTTAATTAGGAGAACAATGTTATCTCCAGGAAGGCGGTCACTGCAGAAGTGAGATGCCTGCAGCTACAGTCTCCTTTAAATTAATTGGGGTTGGAGCCAGACATCCTCAGCTGTGGCCTTATCTTGTCCTTTGAGGTGTCACAGCTCCACAGGCCAATACAGGCCTCAGGGTGACAGGGACTCACAGAGGTTACTTACTATGAGTCCACTGCCCATCCCCAGACAACGTGCCTAAGCTTTGGACCACTCTCAAGTAAACACGGAAAGCCAGTTGGTTAGCATTAAATCCTGCTCAGAGCCACTCTGTAGTGGTCTCCAACAGATGTCAATGTAGATCCCAGGTCTGTAGGATCTGAGGCCCCTGCACTAGGGCTGGTGACTACGGTACAGAGGCTCTCTCCCTCCTTGGGAGTGACCGTTAACCCTGACTTGTCAGCTCCACTGGATTAAGAAATGCTGGGTAGATTAGTGTCTGGGTGGGTCATAGACTTGTGACCACGGGTACTATACTTGGTTCCTGGCTCTTCTCCAGCACCGTTCCCCTGCTGTGCTTCCTGGCCACCATGAACTCAGCAGCTACCACAATCTCCTCTCCCATCCTCCCTCGGAATGTTCCTGCCTTGCAGCCAGCTGACCAGGAACTAAAACTGTGAACCAATGAAACCTCTTCTTTACATCATGGGCGTGGCTATTGTACCCAGCCACAGGACAGCTGACTAACATGCATCAATTAAGGATCTCTGAAGATTTCATTATCTTTCAATTTAAGGAAAAAAGGAAATTTCTAAACAGATTTCATTTTTAAGCCAGGTGATAAGATTGTACAGAACTATCCGAAGGTGACCCTGTGTTGTTTCACCCCAAGAACACAAACATCCATTGTTTCCTCCGCCCTCCTTTAATGACCCCGTTACTGCATCTTGAGTAAAACAGACTCCAAAGCCGGGTGTGGTGGCACACGCCTGTAATCCCAGCACTTGGAAGGCTGAAGCAGAAGGATCGTTGCGCGTTTGAGACCAGCGTGGGCTACAAAGTGAGCTCAAGGCCAGCCTGAACTGCATAACGAGACCCTGCCTCAAAAAGACAAAAAAAAGCTTATAAGGCCAAGTTTCTACCTACACTTCCAGCCTCACCCACACTACACTCGACTCTTCCTGGACATTTTGTGCCCTTCCTTGCATCAGATGTCACCTCCCCTGCGCATCCTCTGTAGGAGTCCACTTTTCACGACGGCAGGGAAACATCCAAAGCTGTGTACTTTATAAGGGAGGAAGTTTCTTTTGGTTCACAGTTCTGGAGCTCCAGAGTTGAAGCCTTACATCTGCTGGTGGTCTTGCTACTGGCAGAGTCCTGAGGCAGGGCGGGGAGTCACATGGTGAGATAGGGAGTATGCTTGTGTCCCTTTTGGTCTCCCTCCATCTTACAAAACTACCAGGATTCAGTCCTGGAGGTGTGGTAGGGCCCTTCCCAATGTACTGGGGCGGGAACTTTTTACACTGCAGCAACAGCAGCCTCTGTGCACGCATGTGCGGTTCTGGTGCGACTCTGTAACATAAATCACAGCCACCAAGCCTGGAAAATGTCAATGTATACTGAACCAGACTGTATGCCCATATAAGGGAGACAAAGACACAAAAATTGTATGAAAGGGTACAACTACTTTATGTGTGGCACTCAGCCTCTGGGTACGAATCCGCTGAGTCAGCACCAGCACAAATAAAGCTGCTTCCCAGGAAAAAGGCCTCAGTGTCCCATCTCTGCACAAAAATCCTGGAGCAGAGAGCTCTAGCCTGATGACCTTATTGCAAAGTCCCCGCCTCTAAACACCAAGGTCAGATTGTTTCTACCCTCTTAATATCTCCCAGTGGGGATTAAAATTCAACACACAAGCCCGGCGTGGTGGTGCTCGCCTGTAATCGCAGCACTCGGGAGGCTGAGGCAAGAGGATCGCTGCAAGTGCGAGGCCAGCCTGGGCTACAAAAGTGAACTCAAGACCAGCCTGAACTGCATAGCGAGACCCTGTCTCAAAAAAACCAAAAGAAAAAAAAATTCAACACACAAGCCCTTGGTGTGTTGAAACGATACCCCAACACCTTCTCTCACCCCTCTCTTCCTATTAATCTGGAACAGGTGTTCATCTAAACCATGATTTTCTTGCATCTCAATGAATATAGTGAAATCAACATTTTTGTCCAAAAAATTCCCACAAAGCCTGGCAAGAGGGCATGCATCTGCAGTCCCAGGTACTTGGGAGGCTGAGGCAGGAGGATCATTTGAGCAGAGACATTTGGAGCCAGCAAGACGGAATGAACTCCTTTTTAAAAAAAATTTTTTTTTTGTAAACACGTTGGCAATTTCATATGGTTCAAATCAATACCATAACAGCTAAAAAATTAAAAAAAAAAAAAAGTTAAAAACTAGTCACTCTTCCCACAATGCCTGCTTCAGGGTCATTGCCCTGAGGCTGCCAGGAAAATAAAAGAAAAACTTAAGAGCAAGACAGCTGAGTTTAAATTCCAGCTACCTTCCCTTCTTATCAATCAGTACGACCTTGGGCAACTAGGATACTCTAAGCTCAGGTCTCCTCATAAATGAAATTCAGATAACACCAAATAGCAAGTGGCCAGCACTTTGCAGGACCAGTGTGAAAATTGGAGAGGATGCATGCTAGCAGGTAGAGGGTGGGGCACCTGGAAATGGACACACTTTCCAGCTGGTCCTACCCGTATCCCCCTGGGCCTTGCCAAGGTCTGTGCTCTTCTGCTAGATTCCAGCTGAGCCAGGGATACAGCTCAGTGGCATAAGCGCCTGCCTGGCAAGTACAAGGTCCTGAGTTCGATTCCTGGTACCAAAAAAAAAAAAGACAAATCTTGAAAAAAAAAAAAAAGATTCCAACTGAAAAAAAAAAAAAAAGATTCCAACTGATCCCACCTGTACCTCTTTCTCTGCCCTCATGTGAGTCAGCCCAGAGTGCCAGGGGATTAACACCTTCTCCCCACCATCAGTAGCCCTCGGCCAGTAGGTCTGAGCAAATGGTATCTATGTACCTGAATTAGCACTTTCCCGTTACTGGGACAAAATACCCAACCGCCACAATGTAAAGGAGGAGGGCTTTCTGGGGCTCACAGTTCCAGAAACCCCTTTCTGGGGTTCAGTCCAGAGTCAGGTGACTGCAGGGAAGAAACTCCATGGTAAAAGGGCAGGGTGGCACTCAGCTGCTCATCCCGTGACAACCAGGAAGCAGAGAGGAAGGGAGAGGCTGGGGACGAGACCATACCCTTCCATCTCACGTCCTCAACCAGCCTAACCTCCACAGCACATGCAGCTGCCGAACTCCTCCTCCTCCTCGTGGGTAAACCCACCGGCGCACACTGTGCCCCAAGATTTAGCTACCTTCCAAAAGGCCTACCTCTGAGCACGTGAGACTTTGGGGGGCATTTAGATATGAATCATAGCAACACCTCACGGATCTCTCCCCTTGGGTAGGATAATGCTAAGGCCCATCACCTCCCAGAGCATCCCAGCGAGGCCAAGCTCCAGGGCTCGCAGTGCCGTCTCTGTTGGTGACAGCTACCAGCTCCCTTCCCTCCCCCAGCTCACTCCCCTCACCTGGTGCGTATTTCAAGGGGGAAATCTCTTAAATAAACTTCCTCCACTCAAATCCTTGAGATCCTGGGGGATCTCAAACTTCTAAAAAGGCACCCTATAAATGATCCTTAGCACAAACGCAAAAACAACATACATCCAATTTATTTTTTTTGGCATCTTTTGTAACAGTGAGACGTTGAAAACAATATATCCAAAGAAGACTGGCTAAATATATAACGACATACTCATGGAATGAAGTACTATACACCTGTGTAAAAGAGAAAAAGTAATTTGTGTCCTGACATGAAACATTCTGTGCTGTATTAATGAAAAAAGCAAGATTAGAACAGTATAAAGTATGCTACCATTTGTGTAAAAAAAAAAGCCTGTATGTATGTATGTATGTGTGTGTGTGTGTGTGTGTGTGTGCCTAGAATCTTTCTGAAGGTGACCCAAAAACACACACACAGCTTGAAGCCCCTATGAGACGGACTTTAAGAGCTGGGAAGAGAGACTTTCCATCACACATCCTGAATGTCTTTTGCTTTTTGCACTATGGACAGGTTTATCAATTCAACAATAAAAGTAACAAAATAAAAGTAAGAGAGGTAGAGAAAAAGGGAGATTTGTGATTCCGCCTTGGAATCTTTATCGGCCGATCACCTCTGGTGTGGGCTGGCGCTGCACTGGCTCGGCTTCTCGGGGTCCGCCTCACCCCGGTGACGCAGGCTGCCTCACACCTGCACACTCGCCCACAGGGTTCCTCACTTCCTCCACCCACCAGAGGGCTGCTTCCTTCTCCCTTTATGCTCGCCCAGAAGGATGCCATCGCTCCTGCCGGAGGAAGGCCCAGCAGCAACTTCTCCCCTATACACAGGGGTCCGAGAGACCGTGCTAAGGCACTTGGCCCATATGCAACAGACACTAGTCACACATGGAACCACACACACACACACAAACATACACACACAAACATACACACACACGCACGCGCGCGTGCGCACACACACATACACACACATAGGGAAACTCAAGCAGGCCTTTCCTGCCGCAGTCTCCTACAAGACATGTCTGTCCCGCAGCCCAGGGGCCTGCTTGTTGCTCTGACAAAGCCGTTTGTTCTCGGTTGGAGGAGCCGTTACTGGGGTGGTGCCTCCTGGGGACCAGCTTCGCTCATCATGTCCTTGTACTGCCGTTTGAAGAAGCCAAGCTGAGGGACAGAGACAGAGATGTAAGGGACACAGAGCCAGGGAGCAAGTGAAGGCCGTGCAGAACAGGAGGGGAACGGAGGGGCCCCAAAGAGCAAACACTAAAAGGGCGAAGAGGGTGGAAGGGACCTGAGGCAAGTGAGGCAGGGAGGGCAACAGCACCAACAGTGGGTCCAGGAAGGAAATATAAAATATAACAAGAGGAATGTCTCCTGCTGAGCGTGGTGATGGATGACTGTAATCCCTGCACTCGGGAGGCTGAAGCAGGAGGATCACAGGAGTTCGAGGCCAGCCTGGGCTACCTAGTGAGTTCAAAACCAGCCTGAACTGCATAGCAAGACCATGTCTTAAAAAAAAAATCTCGTATTGTGGCTGGTCATCCAGGGGCCATTCTAGTTGCTCTACACACATTAACCCCCTTTCTGTCCCCTAACGGGCATGGGTATCACTAAAGAAACTGAGGCCTGAGAGGCTCTGATTGCTCAGGGCCACACAGCGCCAGCAGCAGCGCGGGGAGCTGAACCCCGACCGAGCTGCAGCGTGAGGTGGGGGAGGGGCAGGAAGAGGGCCAAGCAGGGACACCTTGTACAGCCCCGCGGTGATGAGGGCCAGGAGCACCAGTCCCCCAATGGAGCTCCCCACAATGAGAGGAAGAGGGTTGTAAACTTCACTTAGCTCCACCTTGGTCTCCGTCTGGGGGAGGAAGAGGAGAAAAGACAGGCGTCAGGCCGATTCCGGAGTTCTGGAGCGTTCCCTCGTCCCGCCTGTGCACCCCCTGACCCCAAAGCCTTCGCCTTCCCGGTGTGCCCAGTACCCAGCCATCCTTCCTCCTCCCCGCCTGCTTCTCGCCTGCCCCCAGCTCCAAAGGCGGTCTTCACAAGCCCAGCCGCTCCTCCACCCTCCAGCAGGCCTTCTGCGCCCGAGATAGCTACCTGGGACCTCACAAAGACTTCCCGTCCCGGGAGCAAGGCAAAGTTAGAGTCGTTAAACAAGATCTCCGCTGTGCTCACGACCAAGATGTGGTTACTCGACGTCTGTGGAAGAGAACACAGTAGGCGTCGGGCCAGGGGCCCCGGACTAGCGCAACAGTGCCTGCCCCATGAGGCCCCGGACCTCGCGGACCTTGATATACCAACTGGATGAGAGGTTGCCGTGGACGGTGGCACGGAATTCCTCCTCGACGCTGAAGTACGGGATATCACACTCAATTCTCTGGCAGACCGCAACGGAGCAGTTCTAGGGAAGGGACGGGAGGAGGGCGATAACGGAGGAAATGGTACAGAAACGCATCTGCATCCCAGCCCTCTCCATCAGGAGGCCATACTGGAGCTGAGGAGGGGGCCGCATGGCTCCCAGGCTGGGGTGAGGCTGCTGCTCACCAGCACACCTGTCGTCTTCAGCTTAGCCAGGAAATCAGCGTGAGGGGGTGGTCTTTCCTCAGTGTTGCAGGCGCTGGAGAGATTCTGAGGAAGGAGACAGTCCGTGAGGAGAGGGAAATGAGGGTTTCCAGACCCATTCTCAGAGTCCGGGGAAGGCGCAGAAGAGGCTTCAGTGAAGGAAATGGGTATTTCAGGAAAGATCGGGGCTGTGGAGGGAGGACTGGGCCCCACCTCCCAGGCCCAGCGGAACTCACAGGGGAGAAGGTGACCTGAGGGCGCTCCCACACGACCTCCTCGTTCAGACCCACAGGAACCCAGAAGACCACGCTGATGGGGAGGTTCCTCTTGCCCAGGTTGCTGAACTGGACCAGGAAAGGGTGGGGTCAGGGCGACGGCTGCACCATCCGCGTGAGCTGCAGGACTTGGCTTCCCCGGTCCCTACGCCCAGGACCCTGGACAAGGGCCATGTACTGCCCCTCTCCGGGAGGCAGGAAGGGTGGCCAATCAGCATACACTTGAGAGCCAGACTGGCGGGCCTTACGCCCTGGCTTTTCCACCTATTAGCTGTGAGTACTTGGACATGCTCTGTTAAGGTCTCCACGCCCTGCTGTATCCATCTGTAAACCAGGGAGCGCAGCAGTGCCTTCCAGGTGGGTGATACAGACAAGGGGCACTCGCTCTGTGTGCGAGTGTGAGAGGAGCCCCCCCCATCCTTGCCGCCGTCCCTCCCCTTCTCTTCCACACACTTCTGCACTCCCCAAACCCGCTGCCCTCCTCCGCTGCTCCCCACCTGGTACTTGTGCTCTATGATCCGACTGGTCTCTGAAGCTGTGAAGTTGAGATACTTGGTAGAGTCATCGCCACTAAAGAGAGAAAGAAGAGACAGGAGGTGACAGGTGAGGGGCCTCGTAGGAGGGGGTCTCAGGCTGTGTGTGAGGCACACACAGGCTCACAGTAATGCACCCTTAAGAGGAGCGGGTGTGCAGCGGCAAGGCAGATCGGACACAGTGTGCGCCAGTTTGGGCCACTTACACACGTACACAACACACCCACGTGCACAACACACACACATGCACAACACACACACATGCACAACACACACACATACACAAACACAGACTCACAAACACAGATACAGGAGTGCAGCGGCTGTAGGCCCAGCTACAGTCCTGGGGCCGGCACCTGGTGACTATCAAGTACACGGCGTATTTCACAGGCAGCTCCAGCTGGAATTCAGTTTTGTTAGTCCTGGGCATGTTGTTCTCACTGAAAGGAAAGAGAGATCTTAGCCAGCGCCTGGGACCTGGGAACCGGTTTTTCCTTCTCTCTCTCTCTCTCTCTGTCCAGCACCCACTACTTCCAGTCGTTCACCAAGTCCTGCTCTCTAAGCCTCACCCCTACATGGCCCCGGTCCAGCTCTGCTCGCCCTGATGGCTATAGCGACCTTCCAGCTGGTCCTCTGAGTACAAAACTGCTGCACCCCAACTCCCAGCTGTTACGGTTTAGGTCTGGATGTCCCCACAAAGCCTTCAGGGCTCAGAGGGGGCAGGTGATTGGATCACGGGGGTGCTGTGCTCAAGGCTGGATGCATCCACCGCTAGGAGGTGGAGCCTGATTGGAGGAGGGTCACTGGGGGCGTGGCCTAAAGGGGTGTAAATCCCTCCCTCTTCCTGTCCGCTTCCGGCCTGCCCGGATGTGAGCAGCCCCTTCTACCTTGGGGTTTGTGCCTTTGCATCTTCCAACCATGGACTTAAGCTGAGCCAAAATGAACCCCTCCTCCTTTAAGTTGCAGGTAACAAGTATTTTGTCCCAGAAACAAGAAAGTGACTAAGACTCCAGCCTTCGTAGAGAATGACATTTCTAACGTGCAAATATAATCACGTCATTCCTATAGGTTAAACTGCAATTCCCTTAGAACTGCTCATCGGTCACTTTGTCTTTTTGAGATAGGGTCTCGCTATGCAGTTCAGGCTGGCCTTGAGCTCACTTTGTAGCCCAGGCTGGTCTCGAACTCGCAACGATCCTCCTGCCTCAGCCTCCTGAGTGCTGGGGTTACTCATCAGTCACTTTGTGACAGGGCCCATATCTAACCACCACCAACTCAGATCCTGCGCCATGTGCTTGGCCACTCTTAAACACACCCGGATCTTCCCAGGCTCCAGGCCTGACCCGGTGCATCCTTTCTTCTTTCTGTCTTCAATTATTTTCTTCAGAAATGTTTTCTGAAAACCAAACTCCCAAGAACACTGGACATCCTCCCCATTTAATCACTCATTTCATACTGTATTACAGTCACCAGTTTTCCTGTCTGTGAGGACAGGAACAGCTGCCTTTATCACCACTGTCCCACCCTCACTCAGTACAATGCCTGGCGCCTGGTTTATCTGATGGCTGTTCAGTGAATGAATAAATGATCTGAACAGAAAATCAGCAGGGAGAGGGAGAAAGTTCACCCTGGAAAAGGGGCCTCCAAGGCAAGGAATCAGTGTACCTGGTCACAGTGGCCTTGAGGAGTAGTTTGTTTCCCAGGGAAGCACCAAAATCTACATCAAATATGACAATAAAGGTGACCTGGAATTGGAGAAAGGAGATACGGTGATGAGAACAGGAGAGAAGAAAGACACAAACACTCACCAGCTGATGAATAAGGAAGTAAAACCCCATCAATCCCTGCCACAGAATAGCGTTCAGCAGTCAAAGGAAGTGCAGGACTCATCAGTGAGCGACCCTTGAAAATCTACTAATTAGAAGAAGCGAGTCATGAAGGACCACACACTGTGTGTTTCCATTCATATGAAATATCTAGAATATGAGAAGCTACAGAGGCAAAGTAAATTAGTGGTTGTCAGAGGCTGGGGAGGTGGCGGTTGGGGGCCAGTACCAAGACCTCAAGATTTATCACTGTGAATACACTGAAAGCCACTGAATTGTACTTGTTAAATGGATGAGGCTATGGTATATATGAGTTATATCCCAATAAAGCTGTTTTGTAAGAAAAAAAAGGGAGCCCTCACTTTTAAAGAAAGAAGAAGGAAGAAATAGCAAAAGAGGAGGCATGGTGCACACCTGTAATCTCAGCACCCAGGAGGCTGAGGCAGGAGGACCGCTGTGAGTTCGAGGCCAGCCTGGGCTAAAAAGTGAGCTCAAGGCCAGTCTGAACTGCATAGTGAGACCCTGTCTCAAAAAGACAAAAACAAACAAATAACTCTGAAAAGAGGAGGAGAGGAGAAAGAGGAGGAGAATTCCAGAAGAAGACAAGAGAGAAAAGGAATGGGGAAACCAATAGCTCTGACCTCAGAGTTGTCGGGAAAGATGGGGTGGTTTATGTTGCAGCTGGTGCTCCTCAGCGCTCCAGGTTCTTGGGTGGAGGAGCCAGACAAACAGTTCACGGACCAAGATCGCCGTGAGCGCTGGTTCTGGGGGGCAAGTGTGATGTTACCAAGACCAGTCATGGAGAAACGGAAAGCAAGGGGCAGAGAGGCCCGAGAAGGGTTTGGTTACCTGGACCATTGACCATATCCGATAGGACAAGCCCGCTGGGTGGTAGAGGGTGACCTGAGTGCTGTAGGAGTCCTCACCCTCATTTCTCACGGTCACCGTCACATTGAGGCCCCGGGAGTCGCCCACCACCAGGGTATGCAGGCTGTGGGAGCAAAAGACAGCAACAGTGCGGCACCGGGGGCTGCCCTGGGCAAGTCTGTCCTGGTGGAAAGGGGACACAGGCACTTGCAGGGAGAGGCGATGGATGGATGGATGGATGGATGGACGGCCACTAAGGACCTTGCAGCACACAAACACTTCCGAAGAAGCTGCTTTGTGCAGGTTCCCTCAGCCAGGAGAAGAACCCAGCACCGCATCATGGAGCGGATAGGAAGACGGCGGTGGGAAGAAACTCACTTTGTGAAATTGAAAGTGACGCTGAGGTCATCCTGGCAAATGTTGTCATTGCCACAATTCTTCTCGAAGGGAAACTGAAAATTAAGAATATGATAAAAGAAAGGAAAGGGGGTAGTGAAATGAAACAATAAAATAAAATACTGAAATAAGACAAGCTGCAGCAATCAGCCTCCTGTCTTTTCTATCCCCCAGCTGGGACCCAACTCCAGGACTCACCGAGGCTGTGAAAAACTTTGGGGCGTCTTCAGCCAGAACTGGCCGAAGGTTCCCGAAAGAGGACACAGGTATCCCCACCAGAGTGTAGTTGAGGCGCAGGACAATGGGAGTCACTGAGGCAGTTACACATTTCTGAGAGAGACTGGGTGTTAGGGGATCCTCCCTCCTGTGCCCTCCAAGCCCACCTCACTCTTGACCCAGGGGTCTGGCCACTCCCTTGCTCACCGGTAACAGCAGTGTCAGGGTCTTGCATTTCTGCGTCAGCCCCAGGGTCTGCCTCTGTCTGTACGTCGTACTGTTGGTCTCATCAAAGATGGTGCGGGGATGTGAGTGGCTCTGTGAGTCCAGAGCGAGGACATAAGAGACAGCAGCCTGGACATCTGCTGAAAGAACAGGGTAGCATGGCGGTGAGGAGTCTGGGCTGCCTACTCAGCCACAAGCGCTTTGAGGCCTAGGTCCTCTGCACCCCAACTCTATGATTCGGGGTATCTAACCTGAGCTCTTGGAGCCTTGATTCTTTATTTTCAAGGGGAGGGTAACAGTTGTGCCTTTCCAGTGGTGAAAATTAAATAGCGCCCACAGGGTAAGTGCTTAAAATGGTAGTTGTTGTTATATACTAGAGAATTAATTGTATTTTTGACTGTAATATACTGCTGTACGGTTTTATCTTTATTCATCCTGCTTTAATTTTATAAAGAATTTTGATGTCTTTCATCAGTTTTGGAAAATGATCAACCACTATTTGTTGCTTCATCCTCATTTATTCTCCCTCTCCTTCACATCTCTGTCTTCCTCTTCTCCCCCTGTCCCTCTCCCTCTGAATTTTTTTTTTTTTTTTTTTTTTTTTTTATCTATCATTACGCAGTTCAGGCTGGCCTTGAGCTCATGTAGAGAATAATAGGTGTAGCAAACTCTA